CATGCCCACTTCAGATCTTATGATGGAGGAAAGGTCATTAATGAACCAGTTGAAGATAGTTTCGTCTAGGAAATGTCCTGGAGCTGAGATGACTGTCCTCCAAGGTGACTGACTGACAACCATCTTCCTTTGTGCCATGTATGACTCCAATCAGCAAAGAGATTCTCCCCAATTGAATCTACTTTTGCTAGGCCTCCTTGATGCCAAACTCAGTCAAATGCAGTCTTGAAGTCAAAGGCAGTCACTCTCAACTCACCTTAGGAATTCAGCTCTTTTGTCCATAATTTATCCAAGGTTGTAATGAGGTCAGGAACTGAGTGTCCCCAGTGAAACTCAAACTGACATCAGTGAGCTAAGCAACGGCTGCTTGATACTACTGCTGATGACAACTTCCTTCACTTTACTGATCATGAAGAGTAAACTGATGGGGTGGTAATTGATGTTTAGATTTTCCTTGCTTTTGGGATAAAGGACATACCTGGGCAATTTTTCACATTGTTTGCTAGATGCCAGTTGTGTAGCTATACTGGAACAGCTTGGCTATGGATGCAGGAAGTTCTGGAGCACAGATCTTCTGTGCTATTGCCACAATATTATCAGGGCCATAGCCTTTGCAGTATCCAGACCTCCTGCTATTTCTAGATAACACAGGGAGTGAATTGGCTGAAGACGAGCGTTTATGATGACGGGGAACTCCAGAGAAGGCTGAGATGAATCATGCACTCGGCACTTCTGGCTGCTGATTATTGCAAATGCTTCAGCCCCATCCTTTTCACTGAAGTGCTATGCTCCCCTATCCACTAGGATGGAGATATTTGTGGAAAATCTTCTTCCAGTTGGTTGAATCAGATTGGTGGAGCTAGATGCAAAGAGGATTGTCAGATCGTCCATGGGGCAGTCCAATGAGGGCAATAATGAGTCTGATGGCAACTGTAGTTGTGTTGGGGAAGTAGTAGAGTTGTCAGATCGGTCAATAGTGTATTTGGGGTATCAGGAGTCATTGGTTACTAGGAGATGGCTAGGTCAGTGGTTAGTCAGAGTGTTGGAGGCTCACCAGGTTGGGTCTAGGTTGTAGGCAGGGTTCAGGGTCATGAGGGTTTAGTTAGAAGTTTAGAGTTGGAAGGTTGTGGGGTGGATGGGATGTTGGGCAGTGGAGGCATGTCCAGAGGGGAGTGAATTGTTGTGGTCATTTGTATAGTTATCCTGCAGTTTTGCCAGACATTTTCCTGGTAACTATCCGGGTCTGTTGGAACCCTCAAAAGACAATACCTGTAAACTAGAGTGTTTAGAAAGTTCTGGATGTAGGGTATGGTCCATCTATCTGGAGACAAGAAGATGTGGTTCAATGTGTAGATAATATATTTTACTGACGTAGTTTGAGGAGGAAAGCCAGAGCACTAGGAAGAACTCTCATGCTCTTCTGTCTGCCTGAGAGAGCAGACTTGGTTTCCATCTAAAGTCTCATGTAAAAGGTAGCATTTCTGCTTCAATCTACATCATGTGCCGAAGTCTCTGGAATAGTATTTCATCTTATAACCTTCTGATCCAGAGTTACAAGCAACAGCTGACAAAATTGACAGCACTGATCTGTAACATTATCTTTGTGGATCTATTTTCTTGGCTATCGGCGAGAATGTTGACTGCAATCATGGTGAAAATAAATTGTATTGCTGTTTTCTTCTAAATAAAGCCCTCTTTGCAATGTTGCCATCTGCAACCATGTTAAAATGGTCTCCATGTTAAAGAAATAGTGTTTGTGAGGTTTCTGAACTCGTGAGGGGCCATAAATAACAGGCAACAGAGGTCACAGGGTCTCAAAGAGGCTTAGAGTGAGTACTTGCAGTACATGCTGACAAGATGAAAAAATATTCACTGCAGTCAGTCTGTCACAGAAAAGTTGGAAAGGGGTCAATTAGAGGACAAGCTATGTAGTACCATACTGTTACTTTAAAGGGTGTGGGTTTGTGTATTGCTGCTAGATTAGGCAGCAGAGAACAATGTAGCAAGAGCAAGTCTTGTTTCGCTGTGGAACTTTGATGCCACTATGAGGCCGTTCAGTATTACTACAATGCAGGGAACACCAATCAACACCCTCTGCAGGTCAAATGCTTTCCAAGCTGCTGTTCAACTGTTGCACATTCTTGGGATGCCATTGTGCTGATCCTGACATCGGATTGCAATGCCTGACTGCACCACAATATTGTACCTCATGAGTTTTATCTCTTTCTGGTGACTACTTTCATGCATCAAGTTTCATTAACTGGGTGTGTACATAACTTCTGTACTGCTTAAAGCATTCTTTTAGGATATTTTAGTGTGAAGCAGGAAGTTACTAATTATTAAAAAATTGAAAACTGGAGAAATTTATTGCTTTATCAAATCCCAATGTTCTTCTTTAATGCTGCATGAAACAAGATTGTCGGGGCTATTTTGACCCTCTGCACCCCTCTCAACAAATTAATGATACACTATTAGTCTTACAAATAGTATAGTATTGCATTTGATGCTCTTATGTTTGGCACTGCCATTGATTTCGCTTAAGGATCATGTTCAGAACTACTACTCTCACAAGATATGACAGTCCTTTAAGTCATTAAACATCAAAAATAAATTGCTACCCACAAGGGTGAGCTGTTCGCAATGGTCTGTTCCATAATAATGAAGCATTCGACCTGCACTCTATTCAGTGTATTCTTGAACAAACCCAACGTGATTGTTATCACATTTACAATGAATTGAGAAAAAAAATCCATGTATACATGATATTAAAATAAATTCATTATTGACTAGTGAAATTATCTGCATGATACAAGCTGAGGGTCACTGGCCTATGTGGAGAAAGGGAATAAATATCATACTTATTGCTTTTTCTTGAATAATCCCCAGTGACTGCATTCAGGGCAGCCTCTGTTGAGTTGCAGGAGGCAATTTTCAGAGATACTTTAGACACTAAAGAGTCTCTGAAGTGCCTAAGATGGGTTTATTAAATTCTAACGCAGACTTAACTTGTGCTCGGTATAAGGCATTAAGACCAACACACAGAACACCTTCCTGAAGACTTAATAAACAAGTGATTGCACACACTCATTAAAGAGATTTCACTGTATTTGGTGGCTTGCTTATCCTAACACTCTTTCCAAATTGTGATTTTCAGTCTCAGAATAAAAACAGTATTAACCATAATACCATTAGAAGTAAGTAAAAACATTAGTAGTAGCTTGTTCACTGTTCATTTCTGTTGGAGTTGCAAATAAACTTTTGTACTTTTCTGAGGCACTTTATAAGACTACACAGACACTCAAGCACCATTCTGGCAAGTCACAGGATTTCACCTAAAAGGAGTAAATGATGTAGTCCATTTTATTGGACACCTTATAGGACTCTCTGGGAAAAATATATTGTTTTCATTGCATGTTCTTTCATGGAATGTAGACATTGCTGGCATGTCCAGGATATGTTACTCATTCCTATTCTGCACAACTGAGTAGTTTGTTAGACTATTTCACATGGCAGTTAAGAGTCAATTGCATTATTTTAGGCCTGGAGTCATGTGTATGCCAGACCAAAGAAGGATAGACAGTAGTGAACCACGTGAGTTCTTACAACAATTGCAGTCAGTCAGTATTTCACTGCTGAGTTGGGATTTGAGTCTATGTACCCACAATTAGCAAGGGCCTCTGATTTACTAGGTGTGTAACTTTACCAATGTGCCATTGATTCCACTAAAAAAAAAGCTTGGTCTTGGACAGTTTTCTAGGGTTTCCCTTAGTTTGAAAGAAGAGCGAGAGATGGCCATCAAGAGCATCTTGAAGGTGTGTGAGGTAGTATTCTTCCATTCAGCAGGTTTAAGAAATCGTCCTCCTTACGATCTACTTCATTCGCAGGGCAGCGTCTGAAAATCTATGCTCCATCTTCCCCATCCCTAAGCCATCCTAAATGTTTGGCTGTGTGGCAGCCAGAGCACTGCATAGCTTTATTGCAAGTGGGTATGTGGAAGCCATGTACACTGCTCCACAAATATTACATGTAATTGCTGTAAAAGATGCTGGCTGTGCAAGAGTTAATGCTGAGGAGTGCATTAAGTCTCAATATCATGATGTATTAAGTCTCAATATCATGATGCATTACAGACTTGATTTGGAGAACAGCTGTGGCTCTCAAAGGAGATAGACCTACTGTCTAGTCTTCCCATTCTCTTAGTAATAATCCCTATCACACAAATGTCACTTTTACCTGATTGCAGTCCTGAGTTGGTGTTCAGCCAGTGAGCAAAAAGGCATTGGATGTTCCATGACTAAGGTTTGAAACCCCGGTGGACAAAATAAAGCTTTATTAAATAGTGCAGTTAATGACCGGCAAAGCTAGAAGAAAACAAGATGCTTATAGCTCAGATCAAATGTTGCCACCATAGTGGACTAATGACATAGGTAACATACAGTAGCAGAAGACAAGGGCCACAGAAACAATTTAAAACAAGGTTGCAGACCCAGAAACAGTACAAAGCCAAATTAACGTGATAAAAGAGCAAATTAGTAGCCTGAAGAGCAAAGTCTAACAGAGAAGAAAGTTAGGAGACTCTTGAGCCATAAAAATGCAGATGGCCATTGCCTAAACCATAGTAAAGGAAAGATGAATTTTACTGGAACACACATAATGGGACTCATCTAGGAAAAAAGAACCATTAAAGGAAAGGGATTCATTTTGTGGAGCCATAAAGAATAGATTTCTTTCAGTAATGCCACTGAGAGATCGGAAATGTCTTTACAGTTTCAGGTAGTGGGATTCATCAATAAAACCACAAAAGAGACAAAGAATAATTCATCAGGTTGCAAAAAGGCAACACTCATCTATTGTACTCAGAAAAACAGGAATTGTGCGTGAAAAAGGTAAGAATAATCCATTTTACTTGTCAACGGCACGAATCCTCCACTTTCAATGTATAAACATGGGAAAACCATCCAAAACAGCAATACACAGTGGTATCATTGTCCTACCCACAATAATGAAATCCTTTAAAGAATGTAGCGTGAAGCAACATTAAGTTACTGCAGAAGTAAAAATGAGAAATTTAATAAAATAAATAACATTAGTAAAACATGGCAACAGAAATAATTTTCCAGGAAGATTTAATTTCAGACATGGTCCAAATAGATCATGGAGTTGGACACCTTGCAGAGACCAGTTCTTATGATACAGAATTGCTTCCAAACTAAATTAAAAACAAATCAAGTAAATACATGTTTATATTCAATGGGGACTACTATATTGCTTTTCGTACATTATAACTCACCAAGGCTTATAAAAAGAAACAGATACTTTTGATGAACTTTTGAAAGCTTTTGCAATCATTTTAACCTTAAAACAAACAATATTCTTGAAAGATAAGATTTGACAGAAGAATTCAGTATCTAGGGGAATTCATAGATAATTTCATTAATGAACTTTATACGTTAGTAGAAAAAATATAATTATGGATCTTTGAAGTCAGAATTCATAAGCAACAAAATGGTTTTTGGAATTACTAATGAGTCTTTGTCAAATTTAGTGTGGTCCAATGAAGATTTGTAATAAACTACCACACTAGACCAGGTATGGCCTTTTAGAACCCAACAAAGAAAAGGAAGTATGGTAGTGGGAAAAATACTTGATATATCTTTCACCAAGGTGACTGTGGTACGATTTCACTATAACACTATTCATTTTTTAACTATTCATTCAGAAGATACAGGAAATGCTGGTTAGGCCAGTACTTGTTACCTATCCATAATTATATTTGAGAAGCTGGTGGTAAGCTTGCTTTCTTGAACTGCTGCAGTTCATGAGGTGTACGTACACCTGCAGTTCTGCTAGGAAGTGAGTTTCAGGATTTTGACAATGACAGTGAAGAAATGGTGATATACTTCCACAGCTGGTAGGGCGTAGCTTGGAGGGGAACTTGCAGATAGTGCTGCTCTGATGCATTTGTTGACCTTGGAAATCTCCAGGAAGTTGATGGTTGTGGATTCAATGATGGCAATGTCATTAAACATCAAGGTATGATGGTTAGATTCTCTCATCGGTGCCAAGCACTGCACAATTATGAGTGAACATTCTTATATTTGATCTTATGATGGAAGGAAGGTCGCTGATGAAATGGCTGAAGATGGTCAGGCCTCAATTCCCTGAGGAACATTTGGAGTGATGATTGACCTCCAAGAACAACAACCTTCTTCTTTTGTGCTCTGAATGATGGACCATGATCTCCCCCATGATTCCTTTGTTTCTGCTTTCGCAAAGCTCCTTGATGCTATACTTTGTCAAGTGCTGCCTTAATGTCAAGGTTAGTCACTGTCACCTTATCAATGGAGTTCAAGTCTTTCATCCATGTTTAATGCAAGGTTAGAAGCTAAGTAACCTTGATGGAACCCAGACTGAGCATCACTGAGCAAGTTGCTGAGAATACTATCGATAGTCCTTCCATTAATTTTCTGATGACTGAGAGAAGTCCAAAGAAATGGTAATTAGCCAGGTTTCATTTATCCTATTTGTTGAGGGTAGGGCATGCCTGGCCAATTTTCCACATCGTCAGGTAGTTGCCAATTTTGTAGATGCACTTGAATTTCTTGGCTTGGGACATATTTAATTTTCGAACACACCATTTCAGTGTTATTACATGCTAAACTTTTGATTTCAGGTTTAAAACACCAGGTATGTTTAAATTTTTGTTAATTAGCAATTGGAACTAATATTGTCTGCTAAGTTCAATTTTTAAGCAAGAATATCTTGCTAGAATTTTTTCTTTTTGGTGACTATTTTCATCTTCTGAGAAAGTATAATTCCGTAGAATGGGGCATCTGCACCTTCCCTGTTGTACATTGTCAGTGATGTATGGAGACAAGCACAAAATGTTTAGCTTTAACTTGTATTGCTTAGTGCTTCCTTCTTTATATATTTCAGGCATGTTATATTTAAAATATTGCAGATAAGCATTATGCCATATACTGTTAGATCTGCAATATCATTTACTACACAAGAAAAAAATAATCATATTCAACTGCATTTTAACGAAAAATGTTATGCTTCTATTGTCTCTCCATTTCATATACCCCTGTTAATACAGAACTAAGTTTTGAGAATGTGAGGAAGAAATATGAATTTAACAGCAACTATTAGGAGAATGTCATCCATAACTGTTAATAGTTTGGCGGCAAACATTATCTCCTTATCGCCCAACACCATTCAGAGAATGTGAGATAGCAGTGAAGATTGTGAGAAAATACAATTATTTTTACTCTTTTTTTGAGTTTCTTTTTTGAGTTAATATACACAGACGTTAGAAATAAGGGGTGAGCCTAAAAAATGAGAAATGTTAAAAAAGGTATACGGATAAATCTCTGAGTTCCATAAAGTGTAGACAATGGGATATTGCAGCTGTCATGTTAGGTGATACCAATGTCTCTGAAGTTGGTGGGCAAGTGGTTGATTTCAAGCTGCTTGGCTTTGCAGATGACCTGAAAGGCCTTTGTCATGTTTCCTTCTAACAGCAATTTTACTTGCTTTCAGTTTTGTAATAAAAAGATAGAGAAAAAGTGAGAAACAGGGAGAGAGAGTGAGAAAAAGATAAAGAGAGAGAGAAAGACTTATTTTCATTTTAACTGTAAAGAACCCACCCTTGCCTATTAGCACACACAGACCAGAAGCAGAATTGGTTTCTAACTCCCATACTTGAGTACTTTTAAAGAGGGAGAATATAACATGTCTGCAATTTGGGACATAATCAGTGGAAGTTGGCTTTCTACTGAGAGCAGACGTATTCAGCATAGCTATCCATGTACCTACAGAAGATCACAGTCCAGTTTGACTTTCCTCTCGCCCTTTGAAGTTTATGGTTTGAAGTTCTCTTGACTCCTTCAGGTGTGACATTCCAGACGTCATTTCCAAACAGCCACAGAATTTAGATCGACAGCCATCTTTTGGCTATACATCTTCTTTAAATTAAACACATTATAAATAAAAGTTCAATATGTCCACAAGTACTTCAAGGTTCTGGTCCATCATCATGACTTTATGGTGCAATATGTTCTCATTAGCTACATATTAAATATTGCAATCTGAACACAGAATGGTAGAAATCATTGGCAGAAAATACAAAAACAAAGGTTTAATTTTAAAAGCATACTAGATTGTTAAACGGTGAATATATTGCTGGTACCAATGGCCTAGAAATCTTGGAACTTTTTGATGTAGCTATAACACAATTTGCATAATTTCTTCAAAACAAATTGGCAAACTACCAGTTTATGCTTGAATTACACTAGAACAGGAATTAATGTGTACTTCGTCATTTGCACTACTTCTATCAAAAGCATCTCCAACGTGCAGGGGGCCAGTACTTCAGCTTCAACACAGCATCAAGAGAGGAGCAGCAGAGGATACAATGAGGTTCAGGATTGGGACCCAGCAGTTCAGCCTCAACACAGCAGTAAGACAGTAGGCAGCAGTGGATACCCAAGGCCGAGCTCTTCAGCATATTATTTCTGTCTTGCCTTGTAGTTTAGTGCTAACACAAAGGAGGGAAGCTTGTTATGGCTGTCAGCACACCTCAGTCAGGTCAAGAAGGATAGCTTTTGGCCAGAGGGTACTGGCATAGTAGGTCAAAGACAGCATCTGATTATAGTTCAGGGCTTGGAAATGGTCAGACGTATGTTTCGAATTTGGCTGCTGTTCACATAAAGGGTGAGGAGCTGAATGACAGCCACTCATCTTGACTCTTTTTGTCCTACTGTAGGCTGCTTTCCTCCTGGAATGACAGAAAGTTTGTTATTAAGGAAGATGAATGTGGCTGAAGTAGCTGTTACTTTTGGTGCAGTTGGGGAGGTGTCATGAATGAGTGAGTAGACAACGCAGAGGGCACACAGTTGGGGTTTAGGGTTCAGTGACAGTGAGTGAGGGAAGATGTTACAGGGATTTGAGACATGGTAGAGCATGAGCCTTGGTGGAAGGTGGGTACAGTAGCAAAGATACAGTAAATATGAGATATCAGAAGAGGAGATGGTGGCATTTATCTAGTGCAATCATCCAGACAGTTGAGACTGCTTTAGTCCAGGTGCCACCTTTGGGCCAATTGGATATAGTCTGGTGCTGTGCTCTCCATTGCTGGTCCTGGAGAAAGAGGAAGTCCTGCACTGCCACTGCCCTGTCCATCAGGACTTCCAGCGGGCGCCAAATTCCCCCATCTGCCACGTTCAGCAGAAATGTCAGGAACCATGCAGGGCAGCTCTGAACTGACAGTGCTTGTCTGGGTGCATCACGGGCTTTTAAAGATGATGCAGGTGTCAAGCAATGTTGGTTAATCCTAGGATATCACTGAGTGACAAGCTGTTCTGGGAATGGCGTGTGATAAAATGGGGCCAAATTAGGACGTGACGTTTGCCACAGGGGAGCATTAGGTAGTTAACTGGGGTGTTCAGAAAGAAATGGTGAGAAGACCCACTCAGCCTCGCAGTGGAAATTTCTCCAAAAAACTCAACACAACTTGGACTTTCCTAAAGAAATGTAAAATTCAGCTTTTTGTCCACTGTCAAATGTGAATTCACTATCTTGATAACTCAACATAAATGGTTTGCTTCTCACTCAAAACAATTGGGAAGAGTATTTGAGACTGTAATGATTATACAAATTAATGACTCATTCTGAAAAATCAGCTGCACGAAACAAAATTAAACATTTGCTTTAACGATTTTGGCTTTCACACTATTCTATCATATGCAAGTAAGTCTCTAAACAACATTGTGTAATAAGAGATAACAAGGTGTAGAGCTGGATGAACGCAGCAGGCCAAGCAGCATCAGAGGAGCAGGAAGGCTGATGTTTCGGACCTACACCCTTCTTCAGAAATGGGGGAGGGGAAGGGGGTTCTAAAATAAATAGGGAGAGAGGGGGAGGCGGGTAGAAGATGGATAGAGGAGAAGATAGGTGGAGAAGAGACAGACAGGTCAAAGAGGCGGGGATGGAGCCAGTAAAGGTGAGTGTAGGTGGGGAGGTAGGGAGGAGATAAGTCAGTCCAGGGAGGACTGACAGGTCAAGGGGGCGGGATGAGGTTAGTAGGTAGGAGATGGGGGTGGGGCTTGAGGTGGGAGGAGGGGATAGGTGGAAGGAAGGACAGGTTAGGGAGGCGGGGACGAGCTGGGCTGGTTTTGGGGATGCGGTAGGGGGTGGGGAGATTTTAAAGCTTGTGAAGTCCACATTGATACCATTGGGCTGCAGGATTCCCAAGCGGAATATGAGTTGCTGTTCCTGCAACCTTCGGGTAGCATCATTGTGGCACTGCAGGAGGCCCAGGATGGACATGTCGTCTGAGGAATGGGAGGGGGAGTTGAAATGGTTTGCGACTGGGAGGTACAGTTGTTTAGTGCGAACCAAGCATAGGTGTTCTGCAAAGCGGCCCCCAAGCCTCTGCTTGGTTTCCCCGATGTACAGGAAGCCACAACGGGAACAGCGGATGCAGTATACCGCATTAGCAGATGTGCAGGTGATCATCTGCTTGATGTGGAAAGTCTTCTTGGGGCCTGGGATGGGGGTGAGGGGGGAGGTGTAGGAGCAGGTGTGGCACTTCCTGCGGTTGCAGGGAAAAGTGCCTGGTGTGGTGGGGCTGGAGGGGAGTGTGGAGCGGACAAGGGAGTCACGGAGAGAGTGGTCCCTCTGGAAAGCAGATAAGGGTGGGGAGGGAAAAATGTCTTTGGTGATGGGGTCGGATTGCAGATGGCAGAAGTGTCGGAGGATGATGCGTTGGATCCGGAGGTTGGTGGGGTGGTACGTGAGGACGAGGGGGATTCTGTTTTGGTTGTTATTGTGGGGAGGGGGTGTGAGGGATGAGTTGCGGGAAATGCGGGAGACACGGTCGAGGGTGATCTCGACCACGGAGGGGGGGAAGTAGCGGTCCTTGAAAAACGAGGACATCTGAGATGTACGGGAGTGGAATGCCTCATCCTGGGAGCAGATGCGGCCGAGGCGAAGGAATTGGGAATAGGGGATGGCATTTTTGCAGGAAGGTGGGTGGGAGTCGGTGGGCTTGAAATGGATATCGGTTTCTGGGTGGTTGCCAGAAATGGAGACAGAGAGGTCCACGAAGGAGAGAGAGGTATTAGAGATGGTCCAGGTGAACTTAAGGTTGGGGTGGAAGGTGTTGGTGAAGTGGATGAACTGTTCAAGCTCCTCGTGGGAGCACGAGGCGGCGCTGATACAGTCATCAATGTAACAGAGGAAGAGGTGGGGTTTAGGGCCAGTGTAGGTACCGAAGAGGGATTGTTCCACGTAACCTACAAAGAGGTAGGCATAGCTTGGGCCCATGCGGGTACCCATGGCCACCCCCTTCGTCTGTAGGAAGTGGGAGGAATTGAAAGAGAAGTTGTTGAGGGTGAGGACGAGTTCGGCTAAGCGGATGAGGGTGTCAGTGGAGGGGGACTGGTCGGGCCTGCGGGACAGGAAGAAGTGGAGGGCCTTTAGGCTGTCTGTATGGGGAATGCAGGTGGGGAATGCTCCGCCCACCACCGATGCCGATGCAACTCCTCCCACCAACGCCGACGCAACTCCGCCCACAGCCGACACTGACGCAACTCCGCCCACCGCCGACGCAACTCCGCCCACCACCGCCAACGCAACTCCGCCCACCACCGACGCCGACATCGCTCCGCCCATCACCTCCTCAGCCAGCAGCTCCAGAGGACACAGCAGCACCCAGCCCTGCTGAGTCTTCACCATCCCCCCAGACCTCCCCCTTACTGAGGACAAACGATCAGTCCTCAGTAAAGGGCTCACCTTTGTTCCCCTCCACCCAAACATCAACGAATACCGGTCACGTTTGGACATTGAGCAGTTTTTCTGCCGCCGCGGCGCTTACTTCTTCAACTGTGAGCCTAACCCTCCCTCTACTGACCCCTTCTCCCACCTCCAACACACTCCCTCCACCTGGACACCACCCCAAGGCCTCCTACCCTCCCTCGACCTTTTTATCTCCAACTGCCGTCGAGACATCAATTGCCTCAACCTCTCCACCCCTCTCACCCACTCCAACCTCTCCCCTGCAGAACGTGCAGCCCTCCGCTCCAATCCCAACCTCACCATAAAACCCGCGGACAAGGGAGGCGCAAGTTGTAGTATGGTGCACTGACCTCTACATCGCCAAGGCCAGGCGCCAACTCTCCGACACCTCCTCCTACCGCCTCCTTGATCATGACCCCACCCCCGACCACCAAACTATCATCTCCCAAACCATCCACAACCTCATCACCTCAGGTGACCTCCCACCCACAGCCTCCAACCTCATCGGTCCCCAACCCCGCACCGCCCGCTTCTATCTCCTGCCCAAAATCCACAAACCTGACTGCCCTGGTCGACCCATTGTCTCCGCCTGCTCCTGCCCCACCAAACTTATCTCCACCTATCTCGACTCCATTTTCTCCCCCTTGGTCCAGGAACTCCTTACCTACGTCCGTGACACCACCCACACCCTCCACCTCCTCCAGAACTTCCAATTCCCCGGTCCCCAACACCTCATTTTTACCATGGACGTCCAGTCCCTATACACGTGCATTCCCCATACAGACGGCCTAAAGGCCCTCCGCTTCTTCCTGTCCCGCAGGCCCGACCAGTCCCCCTCCACTGACACCCTCATCCGCTTAGCCAAACTCGTCCTCACCGTCAACAACTTCTCTTTTAATTCCTCCCACTTCCTACAGACAAAGGGGGTGGCCATGGGTACCCGCATGGGCCCAAGCTATGCCTGCCTCTTTGTAGGTTACGTGGAACAATCCCTCAGCTGTACCTACACTAGCCCTAAACCCCACCTCTTCCTCCGTTACACTGACGACTGTATCGGCGCCGCCTTGTGCTCCCACGAGGAGCTCGAACAGTTCATCCACTTCATCAACACCTTCCACCCCAACCTTAAGTTCACCTGGACCATTTCTGATACCTCTCTCTCCTTTCTGGACCTCTCTGTCTCCATCTCTGGCAACCACCTAGAAACTGATATCCATTTCAAGCCCACCGACGCCCACAGCTACCTAGAATACACCTCCTCCCACCCACCTTCCTGCAAAAATGCCATCACCTATTCCCAATTCCTTTGCCTCCGCCGCATCTGCTCCCAGGATGAGGCATTCCACACCCGTACATCTCAGATGCCCTCGTTTTTCAAGGGCCGCAACCTCCCCCACCTCGGTGGTCGAGAACGCCCTCGACCGTGTCTCCCGCATTTCCCGCAACTCATCCCTCACACCCCCTCCCCGCAATAACAACCAAAACAGAATCCCCCTCGTCCTCACGTACCACCCCACCAACCTCCGGATCCAACGCATCATCCTCCGACACTTCTGCCATCTGCAATCCGATCCCATCACCAAAGACATTTTTCCCTCCTCACCCTTATCTGCTTTCCAGAGGGACCACTCTCTCCGTGACTCCCTTGTCCGCTCCACACTCCCCTCCAGCCCCACCACACCAGGCACTTTTCCCTGCAACTGCAGGAAGTGCCACACCTGCTCCTACACCTCCCCCCTCACCCCCATCCCAGGCCCCAAGAAGACTTTCCACATCAAGCAGATGTTCACCTGCACATCTGCTAATGCGGTATACTGCATCCGCTGTTCCCGTTGTGGCCTCCTCTACATCGGGGAAACCAAGCGGAGGCTTGGGGACCGCTTTGCAGAACACCTATGCTCGGTTCGCACTAAACAACTGCACCTCCCAGTTGCGAACCATTTCAACTCCCCCTCCCATTCCTCAGACGACATGTTCATCCTGGGCCTCCTGCAGTGCCACAACGATGCCACCCGAAGGTTGCAGGAACAGCAACTCATATTCCGCTTGGGAACCCTGCAGCCCAATGGTATCAATGTGGACTTCACAAGATTCAAAATCTCCCCTCCCCCTACCGCATCCCAAAACCAGCCCAGCTCGTCCCCGCCTCCCTAACCTGTCCTTCCTCCCACCTATCCCCTCCTCCCACCTCAAGCCCCACCCCCATCTCCTACTTACTAACCTCATCCTGCCCCCTTGACCTGTCCATCCTCCCTGGACTGACCTATCCCCTCCCTACCTCTCCACCTACACTCAATTTTACTGGCTCCATCCCCGCCTCTTTGACCTGTCTGTCTCCTCTATCCCAACTTCTCCTCTATCCATCTTCTATCCGCCTCCCCCTCTCTCCCTATTTATTTCAGAACCCCCTTTCTCTCCCCCATTTCTGAAGAAGGGTCTAGGCCCGCAACGTCAGCCTTCCTGCTCCTCTGATGCTGCTTGGCCTGCTGTGTTCATCCAGCTCTACACCTTGTTATCTCAGATTCTCCAGCATCTGCAGTTCCTACTATCTCTTGTGTAATTAGAATTGCTTTTTAGAAATGTCTGCAAATTTCAATTGTTGCATATGCAAATATCAAAGCATGTGCTCGAAACCATAATGCACTTAAAAGACATTAGCCACTTTTTTTGTTTATCTTTTTATCGGGTGTGGGCACCATTGGCTAGGCCAGAATTTATTGTACATCCCAAACTCTCCTTAAGAAACTGGTCAAGGGATGCTTTCTGGAACTGCTGCAGTCCATAGTTCTGTTAGGAAAGAAATTCCAGATTTTGATCCAGCATTAATGAAGGAACAGTGATATTGTTCCAAACTAGGCAGTGTGGCTTGGAGGGGAACATAAAGATGGCGGTATTCCTATGCATCTTCTGCCCTTTCCTTCTAGGTGATAGGGATCGCAGATTTGAAAGATGCCGTTAAGGAGCTTTGGTGAATTGTTTTAGTGCACTAGGTAACTAGCAGAGAAGGTAGTAGAACTTTTCTAACACTGGGATTCTGCTTCTGGTCTGGGAGTGTCAGCCAGCAAGAGTTTCATTTGGTTGAACAATGACAGCCTTGAGTAGGCAGAAACCAGCTGATGGCAGAGTGGCCAGGTTAAAAGGCTTGTCTCCATTCGCATAGACATCAGTCCAATTCTACAGAACAATCTAAAGCCCATCTAACTCTCAACACTTACCTCTCTCAGCTATCTCTGTACTCTATCCTTCACCTCACCACCCATGCTCCCTTAACTCTTCTCCACCTTATCCACTTTGCCCCCTTTTTCCCTCAGCACCTCCAATACCTTTCTAACCCCTCAGCCAATGCATCCTTTATCACCATAAACTGAACTCAAAAACACTACAATAATATTTGCAAATCTGAACAGATCATAAATCTGTCAACATTATCAAGCAATACTTGAAAACCATTTAAAAGTAATTGTCCTGTTCAGAACTTCATTTCTTTCAAAATGAACAAACATTACCTCAATAGCCACAAGCATTGGATTTAATGTGGTTACAAGGCTTTTGTCCACCTACTGCTGGCTCTGCATCATTTTGAAATATACATTACCAATAGTGTTGATAAAACAATTCTTTATATTGATCATAATGATTTTGAGAGGTCAGTTAGTTCTGTTGGCTGGACAGCTGTTTTGTGATGCAGAGTGACGCGAACAGCGTGGATTCAAATCCCATACTGGTTGAGGTTACCATGAGGGACTCTCCTTCATAACCTCTCCCCCTGCATGAGGTGACCCTCAGATTAAACCACCAAATGTTCTCTCTAATGTGAGACTATGGTGACTTTACCTGTTTTTCAAATTGTTTGATTTTCTTAGGTACATTTCACAGCACAAACTTACAACCGTTATTTTGATGGAGCATAATTCTTCAACCGTATAATTTGAAAATTGTTCATGTGCCTGAAAAAGAAAATGTCAGTGCAGGTGTTTTAACAAGTGCACAGATATCAGAGACTGTTTGACATGCAAAAATGGTGGCTGTGTGACTTAATCAATATTAACATTTAATTACAGTTAGCATGTTGTAGAATTAGTGATAAGATGAATTTTGATGAATAATGAAAATGTCTCTTTACGATACATTTTAATTGTTTTTTGGGAGAGATGTGCTGTAAACTGTGGGATTTATATATTTTTTAATATTATTTATTGCAAGTTTGGGTTTCTGATTTTTGAGCCAGTAATCAGTGAACTTTGTGTGTCATAAGTGAATAATTAACTTGAATGTATTTCTGTAGTCACAGATGATTTATTTCAAAAAAGTTTTTGAGGTCTCAGTTTAGAGCAGATAGATTTTGTGTACCACTACTGATTATGGACTTCAAGATTTGTTAGAGACTTCTGGAACTTGATTTTTTTTAAGATTGAGGGAAACGCACATTGCTCAGTGATAGAAACTTTGGGTTTCAATTTTTACTTTGAGTGGATGAGTTCCATGAGGTCCTTAGAATATGATGCAGTATGGACTCATGTTCCTGAGAAGTGATGGATAGGTAGTAAACTAGGTTACCTTAGAGTGAGACCAGAAGTGTTGGGATAAAACCCTGAAGGCGTTACCTAAAGCTGAGTATATGGAAGCTCAGGGAATTGCTCCAGGGAGAAGCCAAATGCAGCTCCAGTCTAAAAGTTGAAGTTACAAATGGTGTTACATAAAGGGATCTGGTGTAAGTATTGGATGAGCAGTGGTTTGGGTTCTGTACCAGAGTTTTATTTGGGTACTATATAAAAGCTACTGTTGTTCTTTTAATTTATAAAGGAGTATTTTGGAATTAATGAGATTATACTTTTACCTAGGACTTAAAATCTTTGAATTCAATATTATAAGTAGCTGGTTTGGTTTATTCTATTTTGTTCTTATTTATTTTGTTAATAAACTTGTGTTTTATTATTATTATAGTAAAATGTACAGCATTACATGCCTACGTTTCTGTGAGAGACCATTTTGTTAAAACTAAACAAATCATAATATGATCTATCAAGCCAGGCTTCTGTCTGGGATATGACTTGTCCAATAATAACATCAGTTGGGATCATAACAATTTGGAAACTACTGTATACAGATGTAAATAAAGAAGCGTTACTGTACATAAGGAAATTAATAGCCTTACTTGGAGATAAGGAGCAAGCAGCCTCAGGGACAGTGCGCGCGCAAACCCTTACAGCCCAGACATACTCCAGAGTGGTATCTGAATGTGCAGACAGCTTAACACAAAATAATGCATGGTGGCAGCTTGGAAATAAAACCTGCGGGGCCATGATCTGTAATTAAAAGAGAGTTTGGGAGACACAGCTGACAAGGGAAGACTCCTAAGATATGTCAAAATCTCAGAACACTTTGAGAAACAAAGCTGGAAAAGGAAAAATGGGTAGAAAGACCCTGAAGGGTGCGATAACAACCTTGGAAGTCTTCAAAGCTAAGCCACAAATTGGCAAATTCACAGGATCGGAAAACTCTAATAGCAAAAAGAGAAAACAGGTACTCACCCAGGTCAATCAGGTGTGATAGTCCAAAGGCGGCTCCAGTGGAGACTTTGTCATTTGATAACATGGAAAGCTCACAGTGAAGTCAGAAGTGGGAATTCTGGAAGCAGCAGTTTCAGCATGATAGAATGCCTTCAGACCATAGCCATGCAATCACGTCACATTTTAATATGTTGGGGGTCTAATAGATCATGTTCTGGAAAGACAAATTGTGGAATAAAGTACTGTAGAACATGGTACATTGATTAAAGCATTTAACATGTGCTTTATCTCTCAAAACAATTTGGTGATTGATTATACCTAACCCTTTCTATGATCTTAGCAGTTGGAAGAATCAAGAGAAGCCTTTTAGAGTCTGACAGCCCCGTTGCCTAGTTTAAGTTAAAATAACAGATTAAAATGACAGGTCAAGTCCCAATAGTAATTTTGAAGATGGATTTACATATTTAAAGAGGAACTTGTTAAAACTGGGCAGGTATTTGTGTTGCCTGTAATTTGTAAATGGAGTCAACTAGATTGGAGTGAGAAAGGAATTGTAAATCCCTAATTTATTTTAAATACATTCCATCTGGATTTCAGTATGTAGTCCGAAAGGGTCAATACTGAGGAGTGCCATAAGTATCATTCGCTATGATGATGACATACAGATTGCCAGAACAGCCTTGTATCTGAAAGATTGAGAGCTAACATCTGATGTACATGATTTCAATGTAACTTGTAACTAGTTGTTAATAAGTAATAAAGTGTATAAACTATAAGAGACTCTAGTTAGACCAGGTGACCACTCTGACCAAACAGGCACTGTATGAAATAACTCCACAGAGGCTGGTATCCCATCATCAAGTCACCCTTAATTTACATGTGCATAGTACTTGACTCTCATCCAGCTTCTTCAGAGCCAGCTGTCAGAATGAACAGAACCTCTGTCAATCCTGTTTATCTTTTTTTCTTTTTTAATACTCCTGTTTATACCTGTCAGCCAGGGCTTCCTGATTGAACCAGGTTAACTGCCTCAGTCAGGGAACTCATACTATAATGAGGTCCACCTGGCTGACCTTGTTACAATCACTACATTCCTCTCCCTCTAAGTCCAGGGACATGGGCCTGCTGTTTATCTTGTAGGCTGTTCTGGGGAATTTTCGCACGAGGTCCAGATTCTCCGACTCAGACTCGGATATGGGTGGCGTGTACCGGCTATAGCCTGCCTCTTGCACTAGGAGCATCTCAGTGAAAATTCATTCTTCCTCTTCTTCTGATGGTAAAGGCATCCAGGCTGCGACACTCACCATGTCATTCTCAGACTCCGAGGTTTATTCAACGCTAGAGAAGGGGGAGAACTCACAGGTTCCGACAGGCTTTCCAGTTGTTCTCAGGGTTCAGGTATGTTTTACTCTTGCCCTATTTGTGAGTTTGCAGCTTTCCAGTAGTCCTCATGCTTGTTCAGAAATGGGAACTGACCTTGCATCAACCGTGCCTCTTACCCATGCAAGGTGTTTTCCATGGTTTTGGCACCAGACTTCCTCCCCTGAAGTAAAGTGTCTCTCTCGCTTAGAGGAGTCTTGTGTCCAGCATTGGCATTCCTGATGCCATTTCACCCTCACCCCAGTAAGATCAGATATAACCCGGTGTGGAGTCTTCTCCTCACTAGCAACTCTACTGGAGCTGCCCCTGTAGTTGCATGAGGGGTCCAATAATCAAATAAGAACCAGGACAGTTTGTTATCAAGTGAAGCTGTAGGATGTTTCTTTAAACCTGCCTTCAAAGTTTGGACTGCTCTTTCCACCAGACCATTGATTGATGGATGGTATGGAGCTGTACTTATGTGCCAAATGCCATTCGACTTTAGGAAATATTTTGCGTGGGCATCAAAACTGACTAAGATGGTTGAACCCATGAAAGGGCTGGCATTGTCGATGTGTAGCCAAGTTCAGGGTTTGCCTGGCCATTTCCATAAATGTGGGGGAGCTGCTGGCAGTAATTTTTGTCCTTGTTGACACTTTCGGCACTACCCACCAAAGCGGCTACGTTGTATCCAATCCTGGTCACCAGGCATAACATCTCGCCAACATCTTCATTTTGGACAGCCCTGGATAACCCTGTTGGAGTTCAGTCACTATGTGGCAGCGAGCTTTGCTCAGGGCAATCATTCTTGTCCCCCATAAATAAAATGCCGTCCTCTACAATGATCTGGTTTTGCTAGGTCCACAACGGTTTCAGTTCCAGTGGTGATGGTCCTTTTGTCTCCCCCATCACCACCAGCTGTTTTAGTTTTGCGAGGACCAGATCCCTTTGTGTCCACAGTCTCATATTGTCAGCAGTGACTGGAAGGGAGTCGAGAAAGTCTAAAACCAGAGCGGACTCTTCCACTGGCAGCACCACTGGTGGTGTATCTGCCAGTGGGAGGAAGCTCAAGGCAGCTACATTTGCTACTTAACATTTGCTTACCAGACAGTGTTTCAACCAGTAATTGTATGCACTTAGAATGAAAGCCCACTGCTGAATTTGATCTGAAGCTATGGGCAGCATGGCCTTGTCCTCTTTGAGTAACCCTAGCAGGGATTTGTGATCTGACACTGTTACAAATTTATGTCTGTAAAGGTGTTGGTGGATCTTCCTCACTCTGAAGGTGACCGCCAAACCTTCCTTCTCTGTTTGGGTGTATTTGTGCTCTACATCAGCCAAACATACGCTATTGGGTGTTCCTCTCCACTGAGCCATCTGTGAACCAATACTATCCTGATATCGTATGGGGAGGCATGCACGTTAGCACTATTTCTCACTTGAGATCATAGTGTGCCAACGCCTTAGACAATGATAGCTGCTTCTTCACTTCCCGAAAGGCTATGTCTTGGCTATGAGACCATTTCCAAGGCTGACCGTTTTTGAACAGCAGACGTAAGGGTACCAGGATGGAAGCCATGTTATATGAACTTTCCATAATAATTCACTAATCCAAGGAAAGATCTAAGCTCTGGTACAGATGTGAGAGCTGGGGCAAATTTAATTGCCTTCACATTATCTTTCATTGTGTGTAACCCGGTTTTGTTGAATCTGTAGCCCAAGTAGGTCACTTGGGCACCTGGAACACTCATTTTTCCCTTCTAAGGCATACACCTGCCTTGGAGAAACATTTAAGGACTAGGTCCAAGTTCTCCAAGTGCTCTTTATTGGTCTTCCCTGTTATTAGCACATCATCCGGATAAATAGCAACCCAGGATAGATCTTGTAAAACATTCTCCATCATCTGGTGAACAATGGCACAGGCTGATGATACGCCAAATGGTAGTCCCATATGTTGGTACAAACCCTGTATGGGAGTTAATTGTAGCATATTTCTGGGAATCCTTATCTAACAACAATTGCAGGCATGCCTGGCTCAAGTCCAGCTTAATGATGGACAGCCACCTCCCCCGGCCAGCTTTGAGTACAAGTCCTCTATGCAAGGGATTGGGTATTTATCCAACTGGGATAAATGGTTTACTGTTTGTTTAAAGTCCCCACAAAGCCGAACTGACCCGTTGAGCTTTATAATCAGTACAACTGGTGATGCCCATTCCACAAACTGTACTGGTTTGATGATTCCTTCACTTTCTATTCTCCTGATTTTTGCCTCTACTTTTGCAAGTAAGGCAAAGGGCACTGGGTGAGCCTTGCAGAATTGTGGAATTGCATCCAGGTCAAAATGCAAGGTGGTCTTGACTCCTTTGATAGTCCCTAGGCCTTCCTGAAAGACCTCTTAGGACTTCACTCATGCAGCCATTTTCTAATCGAAAAATGTTGCTACCTCGTGCAGCAAGCAGCCCTCTTGTTTTCAGCGGCAGCAGCGCGAGCCAGCGTGCCGACGGGAGGGTAAGGCGGTTTTTGTTTCTCCCTGTATAAAAACCTACCTCGTGTAGCAAGCAGCCCTCTTGTTTTCAGCGGCGGGTGTGTGGAGGGAACACGAGCCAGGAAGAAACAGATAAATTCAGGCATTGGCTAAACCCAAAACACTACACGTGTAGTGTCTCCCACCCGTCCTCCTCCTTTAACCAAAAAAGACTGTGTGGAGGTTTGGTAAGGTAAGGCTTTTTTTTTATTCTCCTTCTGGAAATCTCGAGTAGAGGGAATGGAAGCTAGGGCAGTTGCATGCTCCTCTTGCAGGATGTGGGAGGTAAGGGTCACTGCTGGTGTCCCCTCTGACTTCACCTGCGAGAAGTGCACCCAACTCCAGCTCCTCAAAAACCATGTTAGGGAACTGGAGCTGGAGCTGGATGAACTCAGGATCATTCAGGAGGCTGAGGGGATGATAGAGAGGAGTTACAGGGACGTGGTCACACCCAAGGTACAGGAAAAAGGTAGCTGGGTGACTGTCAGGAAGGGGAAAGGGAATAGGCAGACAGTGCAGGGATCCCCTGTGGCCATTCCCCTCAATAATAAGTATACCGTTTTGGATATTGTTGGGGGGACGACATACCAGGGGAAGGCCATAGCGGGCAGGTGTCTGGCACTGAGCCTGACCCTGTGGCAAAGAAGGGAAGGGGGGAGAATAGGAGAGCAATTATAGTGGGGGATTCAATAGGAAGAGGCATAGACAGGCGGTTCTATGGACGCGAACGAGATGAAAGGATGGTATGTTGCCTCCCGGGTGCCAGGGTCCGTGATGTCTCAGATTGTGTCTTCAAGATCCTTAAGGGGGAGAGTGAGCAACCAGCAGTCATGGTACACATCGGTACCAATGACATAGGTAGAAAAAGGACTGAGAATATGAAAAACGAGTACAGGGAGTTAGGTTGGAAGCTGAAGTCCAGGACAAACAGGGTAGTTATCTCTGGATTACTACCAGTGCCACATGATAATGAAGTAAGAAATAGAGACAGAGTGCAGCTAAACACGTGGCTACAGGGCTGGTGTAGGAGGGAGGGCTTCCATTATGTGGATAATTGGAGCACATTCTGGGGAAGGTGGGACCTGTACAGTAAGGACGGGTTGCACCTGAACCGGAAGGGCACAAATATCCTGGGAGGGAGGTTTGCTAGAGCTGTACGGGATGGTTTAAACTAGTTTGGCAGGGGGTGGGGAACCGGATTTATAATTCAGAGGATGAGGTATTCGGCCTTCGAACAGACACAATAGGGAGTGAGGTGCTTTATAAAGAAATGTGGTCGATGGAGCATAATTGCAGACACCGAGATGGTTTGAGGTGTGTATACCTCAATG